CACACACACACACACACACACACACACACACACACACACACACACACACATTCTCTGGAGCACAGATCCAGCTGCTGCATTTTGTCGGTGAAGAGGAGGTGAAGTTCTGCACAAAAGATCCCATTTTTTATTGTTTCTGCTCCTTTTAACCAGATCCTGTGAAACGGTCGGCCTTCTGTACATTTTCTGTATTTTATTCTAATCCTAAACACACAGATGAGCAGATTAAAACCCCATTACTCTTTGAAGTAATGCTTACCGCCCACCATTCATGCCCAACTTAGCTGCTTTTGGTGAAATCTAGAAAATCCTACTTGAAGTGTGAGATTTTGTTGAGGATGACTCTCAGCTACTGCCACRCCGAAATCCAGCTCAATATCTGAAAAACTGAGTGAACCTTTGGGCTTTTTGTGTTTTAAACGTTTGTTCAGCTTTGTCGGTCATCATGAATCAGGTTAGCTCCAAAAGTAAAACAGCTGTAGACGTGCATCCGGTGATTATTTCCTAAACGTTTATTAAAATCCACCTTGTCGTTCATGAGATATTTTGCTAACAGACACAAAACGAGTGCTTCTCTCTTCAGGTCTGTCCAGAAGCGCTGATGTGTGTGCGTGTGTGTCAACATTAATCCTCTCTAAATAACTCTTTCCGTGTCTCTGATGCAATGTTCTCATGCAGAGGAGAAACCCGAKGGGGGGAGAGTGGAATTAGTGTCGGTGTGTTTCAGATAAAACTTTTAGCGTGTTGGATCGGCCAGCCGCGGCTCAAAGAAGGCCAGTCGCAGGAAACGGCACGAAGGAGGGGAAGGCGGAARCGGCCAGGATTGAAGTGAACCCCTCACATCTTTTGATCCGCTCAAGCCATCCTCGATTCTTCACGGTGCCTGTAAGTCAGGAGAGGAGGAGGCCTGGCAGGCGAGGGGTTAATGCATCACAGATTGACAGAAGTTAGCAGCACCCAGAGGGGAGGAGAAGGAGTGTGGTGGGGGGGGGGGATATATAAAATGAGTCGGTCACGCTTTGAACAGTTACACATGCTGTTTACATTTTTCCCAAATTAACATGGCCCCTCGTTTCAGAAAGCTCCCCCCCCCCCCTGCTCCACCTTTCTCCTCTTCCTCCTGCCTCCTTCCCTCCGTCTTTGTCCTTCAGGACTCCCAAAAGATCCTCCTTCGCTTCCCAACGCAACCTTTAGCCGAAACCTTTATAATAGCTGTCAAAACACACGTTTTTTAAAACATTTTCGTTAGAACTTGTTTGCATCACCTACGATAAAAACAACCAGTGAATACACATCGGTCGCCGTCAAAAGTCTGCTGAATAATTCGTAACAAACGACTCCTGTTTTGWTGCCAACAGTTCCGACTTGTTTGTTTACATTCGAACACTTAACAAGTACACAGTTTCTGCGAACAGCATGTCGAAAGCCAAAAGTTAAATTTCCTTTGTCTACTTCTGAAAAGAAAGTGTGACTAAAGCTTTAAGGATGTGAGCTGACAGAAGTGGAGCAGTTTAAGGGGATAAAACTGAGAGGTGGAGAGTATTAAAGCCAAATTTGGAGCTTAGATCAAGCACAAATAAGCCGGGCTGAGATATTACGACCTCTGATTGGAGAATTTATCGAACCGATCACTGAATTTATCTGTAAACAAGGCGAGGGACGCCCTTACAGAGTAGCCAAAGAGTAGCTAAATGCTAAAAGTAGCAACAAACGTGCAGTCTGACGAAGGAAAATTCAAAAATAATGTTTTCAGTACAGTTGCTGAGCTCATGTATTTCTGTGTTGTAAGATTTGTAAATGTTTTCAAAGTACACAAAACACGTGGAAACCAAAAGTCGGTCCTGACTGAGCTGAATGTTTTGCTATAAGAACAGCTAAAACAGCACAAAATAAACAAAAACCTTTGCAGAAAAACTTTGAAGGACTGTAAAGCGTCTGCAGATGTCTTTTAATCTGCTAATCTACAGTTGTTTTTTAAATTCTAAAATGTGTGAACAACTCATGAAACATAAAATTTTTGTGTCATTTTTWAAAATCTGCTCTCCCAGATATTAAACTAGAGCAAAGGGTTTTTACTGCTCCTGTCAAGAACTCAGATTAGTTTAAGTAATATTATGTTTCTATTATTCTGCGTAATTTAGGGTTCGACGCAATGATCCCTCATATGTTTTTCATCCTGCATTCAAGTTTCAGTTGCACAAGTTACGAACAAATGAAGCATTAAAACGAAAACGTGGGAAGGAAAAGTGTTTGCCTCTGTTTGAAATTAGTTCAGCTGCTTGTGTCCCGAGACGTAAAACAACAGATATTCTTACAGTGTTGCTCTGTTTCATTTTACATCTGTGCTGCACATCGAACCAAGAGAATATTGATATATAAAWACAGTACAACTGTCAGGTTAAAGATACCTCCTTGAAAAAGTATTAAGAATGGACAAAATAATATCAAGTAAGTAAAAAAAAATCTTCACAATAATTTGTCTTGTACAAATATCATGTACTTAAATGAAAAAAAATGTCACCAAACATTTTTCCCAGACAAACCACACGTGTTTGTATGTGTTTAGGTAAAAACAACTAGAGTTATTTGATTGAAACTATCAGACATATTTATTTACGGTACCTACGGAATAAAACAACTGGGGTGATTTAGGTTAAACTTATCAAATATATTTGTTTACCTATAGACAAAATCAACTGTACTGACTTCCACACTTGTTTACCTATAAAACAACCAGAGTGAATTAGGTTAAATTTATTGCACTTGTTTATTTACATATAGACAAAAAAACTGGAGTGACTTGTCTACATTTATTTAATTTATTTTATGAAGTGACTTAAGTTAAACTATAGAACATGTTTGTTAACCTACGGGAAAAAAACAACAACCGGGGTGACACTTATTGGATATCTTTGTTTTAAACTTATTGAATATATTAGTTTACCTATAGAATAAAACAATTGGAGTGACTTATATTTAACTTGTTGGATGTGTGTATATCTATAGAAAAAAATAAACTTATCAAACATACTTGTTTACCTATAGAAACAAATAAACAATATGACTCAGGTTTAACTTGTCAAACATATTTGTTCACCTATAGAAAAATACAACCGGAATGACTTCGTTATACTTATCAAACATATTTGTTTACCAACAAACAACCGGAGTGACTTAGGATAAACTTATCAGACATGTTTGTTTACCCAATTTGGGTCAATCACGTAACTGGAGTTTCCACATGGTTTTCGGCAGATTTAATCCAGTGCTGTGCTTACGTTGTGTGCATACCTGCATTTCAGAACTACACAGAACATACTGCAGCAAATGCTTTCAAATGGCCACATTTGATAAAGTGCAATTTTTAATTTAAATTTTTTATTTCATAATTTGTAATGCCTTTTATTTGATCAAATTTATACCAAATTTAATCTACTTTCAATTTTTGGTAAAGGTGGAATTGATTGTTTTTTATTTTTWTTTTGCTGTTATGTGGATTTTTGTACATACTAATCTGATAACATGCTTTTTACACTGCTAAATAGAGAAAACAGAAGCACGTGTTTAAAACATTTCCACTGTTTAYCTCTTTGTTTATTTCCTTGTGAAGTGATCCATCATTTAAAAARTTTAAGCAAAGAACTTACTTTTTTATATACCGGAAGCATTAAAAAATGGCCTAAGAATACTGCATAAGTAAATGAAAATCGGAAATTATTGTCAGTTTTTAGAATGTACAGGTATTTGTTTTGTTTACTGATTATTTTACAGTATGACTGCATTTATAAAAAAAAMCTCATAATAAAAATAAAAAAGTGGTTTATTTCAATTAAAACTACAAGGTCGGGTCAGAGGAAGCAGTTCAGAGCCTCAGGGGGTAATTCAAAACCTGAAGGCTTGAATGAACGACACTGATGGAGGAAAATAAGTGATGCTGGGAGTTTTAAAWGGGAGTTTGACATTTTAGGGACATTAAGAAAAAGTTGGACAGATGAAGCGACAGTGAAACCGGAACCAAACATGGCAATAAAATCA